GGTCGGCCTCTCTGCTTAAATTGGATCCAAGAGGAAACAGGTCGTTAGTCTCTGATCCCAGATCTGTGTGCGCGTGCGTGCGCGTCCACCATCGCACCAGAAACACGTCCACTCTGATCTCCGACGTTAGAAAGGCCTCGTGGGACATCAGATTAAAGGCGTGGCCGTTGTTCAAAGTGCTTCTTTCCTGTGATATCTGATAAACGGAGCCGAGTGGAACACGCCGTCTGGTTTTAAACGGCTGCAATGATGTTACGACGAAAACAAAAGAAATTCAACAGACGCTCGGATGGTTTTTACTGCAGCTGAGAATCCTCAAAGTTACCGTCAAATATCAATATGCAGATTAGTGGGAAATTATACAGTAAAAATAAAAAGGTAATGATAACCGCAGACAGTACACACACGACACCGAGCACAGAGGAACAGGTTTGCTGTGTAACCTCCACACAAAATAATAAGATTTTCCATAGTTTAACGATTAAAGAGCGACAGGAGTATAATGATCCAGACATCGTTATGGAAAAACAAGGAAAGAAAAGCAAAGAACCCCGTTAACCGATGGACCGCCCCCCCCCCACAGTCATCCTGTCTACACAGCTCTACATCAGTGTTGTGTGTTTAACTCTATATATAGAAGCTCCTCTCTCATACAAACATATAAATACACCAGCGCTGCTCCGCCCCCCCACAGGGAGAGGCTTGGCGTCGTCCTATCGATGGACTCAGTCTCTGATCGTTTACAGGAACGCAATCTTCAATCTTTCTCTGTCGCATAGATTTGGACTTTTTGTTGTTGGTGATATTTTTTTTGTCGTTGTTTTCTTTGATTTTTTTGTGGTTTGTTTTTTTACAGGATTTCATATTTGTCGACAACACAGGATATTTCTGAAGAGAACCTAACGGGGCCGTCGCCGTCTACGTAAGTGGCTTTGGTAACCTGAGAGAAAGAGAAAGAGGAAATGATCATGTTGTTAAGCTAAAATCTGAAAAGGTTTGTCAGCTCTGTGAGATAACTGACAAGCAATTAATTTATTATCAAAATACTTATTCATTTGAATCATTTTCTGCCGATGTAACCTCACGTTAGACTGATTCCTTGTTGTGAGATTGGACTAAATGCACCACAAAGAGACATAACGTCCCCCTGTGTTCATTTTTAACAGACAGCTGCAGTCGTTTCAGAGCCAAAGTAAAGAACGTGAGATCTTAAGCTCCGGTCGTTCACGAGGACTCACAGAAACCTCGTCCTTTCAGTAGAAGCCTCACCTGGATGTCGCAGTAGTTGCGCTTGGACACAAAGGACACGTTGATGGGGAAGAAGTCGTTGGGCTGTCCGGCGATGCTGAACTCCAGGCTGCCCGTCTTGTTGTTGACGTCGATGACGGGTAAACACCACTCCAGGATGTTTCGCCTGCTGTCATGTTTGTACTCTCCATCCAGATCTCCGATCATTGGAGATCCCACACCAGACCTGCAGAGCAACGGGAAGACGTATGAACGCACATATTAAACACAGTTAACCCTCTGAACCCCAAAACACACTGGCGGGATTGAAAAGCATGTTTTCTTTCACATCATGTGTGACGAACACTTCCACCAGAAAAAGAAAACCGAAACGAAGCTTTAAGTTGTGATATTTCATAAAAACATTTTATTCTTCATGTTGTCATTATAAATGTCTCCTCTAATAAAGAGTTCACTTTAACATGAATGTGTAAAAACATTAAACTGTGAAACTATGACGTCATGATTGATTCATCTGAGACCAAGTCATGTGACTACAAGGAGGAGACACTCTGACTGAACTACAGGAAGTGAACACAGAGAGGAGAGGACAGAGGAGAGGAGAGAGGAGGAGAGGGGAGGACAGGAGAGGAGAGAGGACAGAGGAAAGGAGAGAGGAGAGAGAGGACAGAGGAGAGGAGAGAGGAGGAGAGGGGAGGACAGAGAGGAGAGAGAGGAGAGGTCGTAAATATGTGAATAGTCCAAGGAAATATGACCCTAAAACATTCAATATGGATTCATAAAGTCAGGAAGTGATGTTACCATCAGAAGTTACAAGAGGTGGCTGGCGTGGATGTACTTACGGTACAGGGATGCTGATGACCACGTCGTTGAGCTCGAGGCTCTCCTCCTGCAGCTCGTATTCAATGTTCACATCACAGCCGGTACCGCTCTCTGAAGGCCAGCAGTTTACTGAGGAAGGACACAACAGTCATACGATCACATCACATACAAACACTGTCACACTGACTAACTGGAAATAAACTAAATACAGCAGAGAATGACCAGGGAGTCATGTGACCGGATTAATTACAGTTTACCATCATAGTGATCGTTACCGGCCCATTGCAAGTAAAAATATGAGCTTTGGAGATCGGCATTAATGCTTTCTAGTCGCTAGTCTGATAATGAAACGTGAACAACAAATCTGTGTTTAAATCGCCAGGAGGAGAGCTAGTGGTGTTAGCCAGCCCGCAGCGACATCAGACTACAACGCTGACAGCAACAGCTGTTATAAAGTACAGTGCAGAGCTGTACAGCTAACGTACGGAAGTTCCATTCAGTTACATTATGGTGCGTTCAAGCTCCAATCAGAAAAAAAAAAAAAAAAAAAAAAAATAGTATTGTGTGAATGTAAATATAATATCATGTTATGATGTGTTCAAATGTAATCTTATAAAATGTAGTTTTGGTGAGAAACTTGAATACAACCAGTTGTTTTAAAGGAGATAAAATAGACAGAGCTGTTTAACGTCCTAAAATTAGATTTTTTTTTTAAATCAATAAAATACAATATTACAATATTTCATTTCCTAATCATTTCAAGTGTGAGATTTTATGAAAAAAATGACCACTATAGATGACTTCAAAAAGTAGAATAATAAATATCTTAGTTTGTTAGCTGTAGCCCTATTAGAAATATTCTGGTTAATAGTCGTGAAAACTGTAACGTCGTGATTTTCGGACATGTGGAGACTTACTGGTTAGCGGTATGAGGGCCTCGTCTGTGGTCTGTAGTCTCCACTTCAGAACACCGACGTCGTTGTTGAGGGGGAAGGACTTCTCTGGGTTCTTCAGGCCGATCACGGAGTCAGTTGTGAACAACTTCTTGTCCACATTGGGATGTGTCTGAGAGAAGACCGAAGAAACACAAGAATCAATACACCCGTCGTTACATCATCTACCAGAAGATGTGTGATGATGTGTGGATGACCTACTTGCAGCTGCAGTCCTTTGTTGTCATTGTTGTTGATGATGAGGCGGATGCGTCCGTTCTTGTCGTCTGAGACTCGGAGCGTCACCATCCCCAGAACCTCCATGTTCTGTAGGCCGCCGTCACGGCCGCAGGTCAGCGAGATCTTCTCCTCCACGCGAAGATGTACGCTGGAGACCAAACAAACAGGCTTTAACCCTCTGAACCCACCAGCATGTTTTCTGCTTACGTTAGAAAAAGTAGCCAAAACAAAGCTTAAAATTGTGATGTTTTATCAAAAACTCGTTTAAAATGTCTCCTCTAACAAAGAGTTCACTTTAACATGAATGTGTAAAAACATTAAACTGTGAAACTATGAAGTCATGATTGATTCATCTGAGACCAACAGTCATGTGACTACAAGGAGGAGACACTGACTGAACTACAGGAAGTGAACACAGAGCAGAAATGTAAATAGTTTAATATTTAAAACATTGGTAACACTTGTAAACATGTTGATTTATAGATTTAATTGTTTTCCAATTTTTGTGAAAGAAATTATCAAAGACATTAAAGTTTTTTTTAATGATTGATGTCATAACTGTTATTCTGCACTAAAGACATGTTCTAGTTCTACTCATGATGGTTCTGTTTCATAGAGGAGCAGGACTTTTATTTTGAAGAGAAAAACGAGACCACAGAGAGAAAGACGTGACGGGAGCATAAAACATCCTGAAACTGCTTTGAGTTCAGAGAGTAATGAAACAACCACACGTGAGAAAGTGAAATCAGGTTGAGGTTAGGAAAGTCAGAGATGTGAAATAAAGATATTCTCACACTGAAGAGTTGAACTCAGACAACTTTCATACCAAGAATGTATTTAAATGTATAGTAAGCAACTGGTGCATCTCTAGTTATAATGTATTACACATTATAAAATGATAATGTATTACAACTATAATTCACTTACAAAAAACAGGATTTATAATGTGTTATTAAGCATTATGACTATTCATGAGTGCTTATAACTATTAATTAAAAACATCCTGCTCATAGTTGGGTTATTAAACTTTGAATATTCATGTTTAGGGTGCATCGCAAGTCATAAATGTGGGTGTGGCTTATTGAAGATCAACCCTCTATAACACGTTTGTCAAATAATAAAAGTTTCTCTCCGTAGGTTTGTTCTCCTCGAACAATCAAATCAATATCTGAGCCGAGTACTTGGTTTCATCATAATGACAGAACACGTCAGTATATCATCTGATTTCTAACAAAGTCATCTGTGGTCAGTGAAAACGAGCATCGAGTCCCTTAGAACAAGGAATAAACAATATCTATACTGATCCATAAAGACGGTGTCTGTACCTCTCCACGTTGACTGGTGGAGGCAGAGCTTTGGACACATCCGAGCCTCTCTTTCCGGTGCTGGACATGATGGTTTCACCCTCAGACTTCAGCTTGTCCACGAAGTTGTCCACCTCTTTCCCTTTAGCACCTAGTTTCAGAGCTTTACTGGGTCCACTTGGTCTGGAAAAGAAAGACAATAATAAGAGCATCACCTTCTAAAACACTCCCAATCAAAACTACAAAGGAATGCGCGCACGCACACACGCTCTGTACCTGACTGCAGCCGAAGTGATCTTGGGCTTCTCGGGCTCGACAATGGAGTCTGTGATGATGGAGCCCGAGGAGACGCTGGTCATGCCGCCGCTGCCGAAGCCGCCGAACGCCGGCACCTTCTTCCCGGAGCGCTCGGCGTCCCTCCTGGCCTGCTGCAGCTCCTTGGCCTTCCTCCTCATCTCCGCCTTGGCCTCTCTCTCCTGGGTCTGTGGGGCAACAACGAAATGCATCATTTGCATGTTGGGAAGCTATTTTCAACAGTTAATAGGATGAAAAATATCTGTGAAACACATTTCTGCTCATCTGGAGATTCATTTAAATCTAAATAAAATGACACAAACAGTGTGCGCTCACCTCTCTGACAGCCCTGAACACCTTCTCCTCGTGGGAGTCCATCTCTGTGAAGGTGCGGATCTGAGCCAGGTTCACGTTCTCTCTGTAGCCGAGAGCCACGATCTCATCGAAGGCAAAGATCAGGTCGAAGCAGTGCTCCGAGATCTCGCTCTCCTCCAGCACACGACAGTACTCCGGGATCTGGGGGATGGAAATAGACAACTGAAGCAGCGCGAGTAACCGGCACATCACGCAGGGAATAAGTTCAGGAAAAGATCATTTCTACGTGACAGAAAAGGTTGAAAGTGTGACTCCACTGATGGCGAATAAAAACACCGAGGTTGTTGAAGCGTTGGCTTCTTTTTGATGAACTTTATCAACAGTTTGTTTTCTAAACTTCTTTGTGCCATAAATGCACCCGTTCCCTTTAACATTTTACATATTTTACAAACAACACAGGATCAATACAGATGTCAAGCTCAGAGTGATTATAATAAACATCCTTTTATCTCATTATAATCCATCTTTTAATTCAAAAATATTTTAAACACAATAAAGTAGCTTAAAAAGGTGTCAGATTACTTTTTTAAGAAAGCTAAATACAGGATGTGGTCATACGGTCGTCTCTGATGCTGACTTGACAAATAACAATAAATATTTGTATACAACAACATATACAAAAACACGACGTATAACAAATAATATTCTCAACTCAACAGAGCATCACTTTCAGGTATGAAATATAACAGTGAGACCCAGTTCTTTGTGTGTATATTTGAATTTAAGGTCAGTAACAAAGTAAAAATGACTCATGAATGCTCAATCATGATCATCACCGTTAGTATAACAGCAGCAGACTGTCGTCCACTCGGTTCCTTTAAAGCTTCAGATGTATTTTCTGTTTGTCATCCACTACTGAGACAAAGACCTTCCATTAACTCACAGCGACATGCTGGAGACCAGAATAACTCAAAGGGGACAACAAGAACTGTGGTGACAGGTGCCAACACGTATACGTATGGATCTACAGCTACAGAAGGGGAATCATTAAATCAACTCATTTCTTCACACCACCATGTGACCTGCTATCTTGACGTCACACTTAACAATGCACATGATGTCATTTCTATGCACAGACACAAAACAGAAAGTCCACGCTTCCTCACCACGCGGGAGAAGAGTCTGAGTGTCTCCAGGTCCTCCAGGATGTTGCTGTTCTTGGTGGTGATGAGGACCATGTAGAGCTTCTCCAGCGGCTGGTACACGTAGCGAACGCTGTCCGTTTCCACAAAGGTGTGCTGCTTGCCCGTGTTCATCAGTTTGGGGAACGCGGCCAGAAGACCCTCGACACGCGTCCGGGTCATTTCCACAAACTGCCGCGATACGATGGCCTTGCCGGCCTTGGTGCACACCGCCGCTGCCAACAGCACCTGCAGGGGAGGAGGAAACTCGCCTGTTAAAGTGCTTACAGAGCTATAATTACATAAGATATCGCACACATGCACAAGTTGTTTTGAGCATGCAAATGTTACCAAATGGCAAAAAATAAGTGATACTGCTGAAGGAAGTTAATGCACAAATTACTGACAGTTCCCTCTTTTACTTCCACTTTCAGGAACCAGAATTCCCTCTGAAGTGTGCATCTTTTTAGGGAGAGCAAGTCTTGCCAAGTTAAATCAGCATATTTTATATTGTCTGAGGAGAAAACATTACAGCAGATTCAACAAAGAAATACCCACTCAGCTAGCAGTACAATTTGTTTTGTTGGTTCGCACTGCTTAAGGCGACCTGCTATGTTGAGTTCTGGTGGAAGAAGACGAAGAGTACGTTAGCTGTCTGCCAACTAGCTATATAACCTGAAATATTGTTAAAATAAGTCACTGCCACAGATAACATGTATGCTGAATCTGACATTGGTGAGAGGCGATTCAGAAGATATGATTACGTCATGTCTATGTGTGTGTATGTGTGCTGAGAAACCAAACTTTAAAATCACCACAAATGTTAACGGTGCTTGGTGAAGCGTTCTCATCAAGTGTGGACAGATACGACACGTTTACATTTAAATAACCTGCACAAACATTGTGAGTTTACTTTAACGCAAGTGGTGAATGAATGAACTGTAATCACTCCACGTTGACATATGGCTTAAGTTAGAAATTAAAGAGACGGTCGACTGCGATGGATCTGAACTTAAAGTTGACATTCATGAATATTATAAATTACTTAATTAAAAGCAGGATTGTGAAAAATCATTTTTTCCTAAACTACCAACAGAGGTTTCTTGTCTTATTTGTGATGAGAGTTTGTTCAAAACCTTTTGACTGATTATTAATCCAGAAAAACAGATATTCAGATTTTGGCCTTTAAAATGTCCCAAACAAAAATCTGTTATATAAGCAGTTGCAGACACATTTTCTGTGACACAAATCCCAGAGTGTCTTCAGCTTGTCAGACTGTTGATGTGAACATTTTTAGACCAACTTGTCTGTTCTTGTGGTGTTAAGGTCGACAACATAACTTCCTGGTTGGAGGCAGATATTGTTGACATTCCTCAATACACGTTGTAGCAGCCGGTTGGCTTTAATTATAACATAAATGTATATTTAGGTGAGGTTTTGTTAAAACAACGGTAACAGACAATATGACAGCAGCTAACGTTAGCTCGGATTCGGCTAGTGACAGGAGCTAATGCTAACGTGTCACGCTAAGTTAACGTCACCAATGTCTGCAGACACAGAGCCGCCTACTCACCTGATATTTTTAACTTTGTGAAAAGACACAACGATTCAGTCACTTAATTTAAGTAACTCGATGTAATGTTAGCGCTGCCAGCTCAGTGAAAAGCTACGTGTTGGTTTCCTGTTAGCTCGCTCTTGGGAAACAAGCTGGACCATAGCTAGCTTTTTAAGCTAGCTGCCAGGTTAGCCAAAAAGCTAACCTGGTTAGCCAGTGTTATGATAATTGCTAGGCCTCGATAAAAGCCACGGAATATCTTGATTTTTGTGGGACTTTCTCACTCACCATTTTCGGTCTCTCTCTCTACGGTACGACGATCTTCCGTCTCTCGTGTTTTATCGATTTCGGGTGATTTTTCTTGTGTGTGATTGTTAGCCAGCTAGCTAGCGTCAAATAATATGGCAGCAGAGACCAGAGCCACGTCTCCACCGGAAGAAGAGCAGCGGTAGACCCGCCCACCGTGAAAACCAGTGACGTGAGCACCAAAAACGTTGGGCCGATTGCGTAAATAAAGTTCTTCTTCTTCTTCTTTGAGGTTTATTGGCGGTTGGCAAACAATGAATTGGTGCATTACCGCCACCAAGTCATTGCTGGTATGGAGTGTGGATCAGGATGTTATGGAAGCACATTTCCACCAGCAAAAAAAAAAAAGAGGTCACAAAAAATATAAAAATCCATCTCCCAAAAAAAAAAGGAAAATTTCTAATTCTTATTTGTTTTATGCTGGTGGAAAAAGGGTTTTACTTTTTTCCTCCAGCATAAAATAAAAAGCAGCAACACCTTTTGGTGCATCCATCTGTAACCATAACACTGACCAGATGTTTCCAGTTGCTATAGAAAGTCTAAATGATGAGTCATAGAAGCAGCTCTTCATAGGTTACTCTACATTTGACATATACGTGGATTGTGAGTACATTGAAGACTTCTTTAAACGTGGCTTTACAACACATGAAGTACTTAAATTGCTTGATGTTTCACATGGATTGTACTGAACAAACGCACCCTTGAATTGAATGTTAAGCAAGAAGCAGCTCTGGAGTATAAAGAATGAAACCAATGTGGCTGAGGTGAAGACCTTCAATAAACTGATACATATATTATTATATGATATACATTATATTATACTGAATATTATATGATATATTATTATATTATACTGAGACTAAAATAAGATGTCCCGACGTGTTTATCAAAGCGTTATTTACTGCTTTTTTTCATGTTGGAATAAAGGTTAAATATTTAACTGTAAAGTAGTAATACGTGTTTGATACCTTAATGTGCATTAAATCATTCTGGGATGTTTGCTGAAATTGATTGGATGTGGCACAGCCCTACCTAGAACATGTTCCACCAGCTCCACTGGCGTAATCGTTTTCTTTAATGTATCAGATGTGTTCAAACTGATTGTGTTTTTAAAATTCTTTACGACACTAATAATCTTATCTGGTATTACTTAAATGGCACATTGGTTGAGATAAACTTAAACCCTAAAGATACATTTTGAACATTTAGTTTACATTTACACACTCCAACCAACCTTTATTCATAATTAATGGAGAACCAGTGTTGCAAAAGAGTTCAGAGAGATCACATGTATGTTTGAAGCAATAAGTAATAATGAGCTTTATGCTCGTCATGATATAGGAATATATCTTTTTATAGTAATTTCACTGATCACACAACACAAACTGTCACTTTTATATTATTTTTAAAACATCTAAACTTAGAGTAATTAATTTGTGTAAATAAACTATTGGTCCTTATTGATCTGTTTGGTCACAGTTATCAAGATTACATATCAGTGTTATGACTGTTTGTGTTAACTTGACGGTTTGATTGGTAACATTCATAAATGAATAATCAGCAGACCTCATTGGTGCCCTGAGCTGAAATTTAGTAATAAAACCTGTTTACATTTGTGCTTATATTCTGCATATCCTCCCAAGCAAAGTGCTATCAATGAAATGATGCAAACACAGGAAAGGGTGAGAAAGCATAAACAATTATCTTTGAAGATCATGATTGTACGTTTCTTGCACTGTGTTTATAGTTGTGCACCAATCACTGAGCCCAATATCTTGTATGTGCCGACATACTTGGCAATAAACAGTTTCTGGGCCAGACTTGGCCCTTTTCAATACTCCATGTAAACACATTATTCTCAGTGTTGCAGTAACTTTCTTTGGTCACCAGATGTCATTATTTAAAGTGTGTATGAAGAGTTGAGCTCCACACAGTCAGCTCTATTTATTCTGTGTGAACACGAGGTTTCAACTCCAAATATCCCAAAAAAAACCCTCAACGTGAGAGACGGCTGTTTTCCCATTGGGTGATGTTTTCTCATGAAGCAGTGGATGGGTGTGGTACTTTGTTGATAGAAATCCAAAGTTTATATAGTTGCTTTTTATTGTGGCTACATCAGGTCACAAGTGACAAAAACACACCAGCTTTTAAAGTAATTCCTCTAATGGACTGCATGCATTTAACAGCAGTTCTTAGTCGTCAGGAAATCGTTACACTTTGTCTCGAATATAGATTTCAGGACTTTATTATATCCAGTATTATTAAAAAAAACATCTCACACATTAAACCCACATTTTTTTATTTCATCCTCCTTACATGGTAGGTCGACCATTTCTACTTCTTTTGTTTTTAATGGCAGCAAGCAGCTTTCAGGAGCATTACCACCACCACCCACTAATCTGGAGGGTTGACTAAGGATCTATCCTCTCTAATCCAACAAGAATTTAATAAAATAATTAAAGAAACAAGAAAAACAAAAGGAAATAAGTAATTATAAATAAAAAAAAATACATGAACTTTTCCAATTCTATTCGTTAATCTTGTACCCGCGATACTTTCCATTTGTCACTAGAATTTCTCTTTATTACTTATATATTTTCCTCTCCAATCTTTAACCCATTTTTCAAAACATCCTCTTGTTGAATCAAACATCTGACAGAATAAAACATGGCCCACAGTTTGTTCATCACACAATTCCAATAACTCTTAAGACCACTATGAACATTCCTTATAATCCTCTTCTCCATTTCATCCACATCTTTAATTCCCAATCAAGGGTTTATTAAAAAAAAATAAAAAAATAAAAATAAAAAAATACATCTTCCTTTACTACCTTTATTTAAATTCGTGCTGCCATATATTTGTGATTTATCCCTTAAATCAGTACTTTTATTAGGTTAGGCCTACTACCAAAGAGAGGAAGCTGAAAGACGGAACCAGGAAGTGACCTTTAGCGCAGTCTGATGACGTCACGGATCCATTCAAAAAGGCGCTTCATGAGAGCAGCGACCTGACTACTCTCAAGGATTTCCTGTTTTTTTTCATAGTCTCTGGGTCAAAGCAATTCGTACAACATCGATGGAGTGATCCGGATCACAGACATGTCGGAGAACCCAAGTTCCGCGGTAGGTTTTTTAATCTAAATGTATTTTTTCCCCACACAACGCATGAAGCACCTTGAGTGCCAGCGCCCATTTCCGCATTGCCCGTCATTTGGAGCGCCGTGATTGGTCAGTCCATTGTGTCAAGTTTTTTTTAACTCTGCTCTCCATTCGCTGTCAAACGTTGACAGGTGCGAGCTAGAAAAAGGAGAAACCTAGTTTACCTGCTCTGCAGATTTTATAGCACAATCCCAGTGTTACGACGTGAGCATCTAGAGTGACTAACTACTGAAAACAACCGTTGGTGTTCAGTTATAGGCGCCGCCCCCTTTACGAGACTAGCGGTGGATCCTGAGTTTATTAAGTCTAATAGAAGTGAACGTGAACGTAGATTATGACAGATACTTTCACCGAAGCACAGCTTGAAGCCAGTTTGTTTTTCACAAGCTACATATCTTCTAAACATTGGGCCATAAAATAGTAGTTTAAAACAGACAAATCCGGAGAAAATTTACTTTATTAGAGACCTTTCTCTGTCTCAACAACGTACTCTCGCGAGATCTGGAAACTAACGTTCGCAAACACCCTAACAATTTTTGTCATGCTAAATATATCAGTTAAACTTTTAAATATAAAATGTTTGCAATAGAAAATATAAATATACTACAAAATATAACCTATTCTGATTTTATCCGTCCGCACAACACTTTCAATGACCACGCCCACTTATAAGACAGGAAGTGTATAATTTTTCAAACTAATGGCGGATGCAATTATTTTTTATAAGAGTACCATACACTAAAATGCTTACTACTACAATATATTACAAGTAAAAGTCCTGCATGGAAAATGTTACTTAAATAAAAGTTTAAAAGTGAATTTATTAAGAATTAAGTGAATCAGTAAAAGTACTTACTGCTGTTAAGAACGCCCATATATACACACACCTAAATATGTAGGCTGATGTACCATTACAATAGGCCTAGTGTATAATATTGACCAGTCAGGACTGAGAGTATACTGATTGGCAGGTACTGTGATTAACACTATGAATGTACAGTTAGGCCCAATGAAACACCTGAAGAGTCCACTTCAGGTGTGATTTATTGTAAACAGGTGATGCAGCAGGTGAGGCACACGGTCTGCTGCTTTTATCTAAAACAGAAAGATATGATGTATTATTACCACCATTCACTGAATTTAACCACAAATATCTGCCAACAATAAATAACACCATGTACATAATTCTAACTTCAATGACTCATGTACATATAAATGTACTAAGAGTAAGTAAACTCACATTTGTCCTCCATGTAGAGCGCTCAGGGTTGTGCTGCAGGTAAAGAGTTCACACCTGAACTCAATCTCTTATTTAAAGGCTCTGATCCAGCTAGGCCCCGCCCACTTCCTGCTCTGACTCCAGACTCTTCATTTTGGATGAATCTGCTGATTCTTTTTTTTAGATTAGATGATTTATTGGTTAGTTTTTAAAAAGTACAAAAAAAA